CACTCATTCTGACTCCACTCCTAAATAAGCAATGTGTAGAGTTCTTTGTGATTTTCAAAGATTGCATGTTACCAAGAATAAAAGGCTGATAGTTTAAATCACTTTCTATAGACTCACACAGTTTTAGATAAATATAAATATCTGTATAAAATAAATACAAAATAGAGTATGCCTTTGTCCAAATAACTACTTACAACATTACAGAAAAAGTACTTCATTGGAGATATTTTGATGACAGTATCACTGGTAACTTAATATCCCTACTGTTACGCTTTCAATGAGGTGTTCCCCAAAAGCTCATTTGTAAGACAATGCAATGAAATTCAGAGGCGAAATGATTGGGTTACGGGAGCTTTAACCTAATCAGAGCATTAATCCCCTATAGGGATTAAATGGGGCAACTGTAGGCATGTAGGGTATGGCTGAAGGAGGTAGATCAATGAAGTCGTACCTTGGGGTTCATATTTTATCCATGGTTAGGGGTGCTGTCTCTCTCTGCTTCCGGGTTCCATGTCCTGAGCTGCTTTCTCCCACTACACTCTTCTGCCATGATGTACTGCCTCACCTTAAGTCCAGACCAATGGAGCCAACCATCTAGGGATTGAGACCTCTGAAACTGTGAGCCCCCAAACTTCCTTTTAAATTCTTTTAAAATAAAATATATAAACAAACTGAAGGCAAAAGCACCATTTAAGAAAAAAAATCTATATATATTTAGAATGAAAGCTGACCTTGGCAACATTTCTTTCATCTTGTTTCCATGACTTGAGATATAATTCACATACCACACAATCCACCTATTTGTCAAAAAGCCCCTAAATTATACATTTCAATCACAGGATGGTATAGTTATTGCTGTGATCAATTTTAGGAAATTTTTATCACCCCCAAAATAAACTTACCATCAGCTGCCATTATCTATTCCACTCAACCTTTAGCAAGCACTAATCTGCTTTTTTTTTTTTTTAACAGATATAGATCCAACTTTTTATATAAATGGAATTATACTATATGTGGTGTATTGTGACTGGCTTCTTTCACTTAGCATATTGTTTTCAAGATTCACCTGTGTTGAGCATGTATCACTACTTCCTTCATTGCCAGGTAATATTCTATTGTAAGGATATATCACATTCTATTTGTTCATTTATCAATTGATAGTTATTTGGGCTTTTTATAATTTCTGATTATTATGCATAATGCCACTATGAACATTTATGTAGTTTACTTCTTTGGGGTGTATACCCAGATGTGGAATTGCTGATACCTATGGTAAAAATAGCCAATGACTTCACCATGCCTTCTTCCCCCAATTTTTATTATTGAAAATTCCTGTCAGCTCTAGTCTAGTTGACATTTTCCAAAAGCAACTGTAATATAAAATACAAGTGATTTTCTCCACACATCAATTCTAGCACTAGTGTTAAACCAAAACTTTTGAGATAGAAGATTCACTGAACTAAATGGGTTTATTGAGTTGTTACAAATGCTAGTCAGAAAGGACCAGGTCCTGGAACAAGTAGTTTACACTGACACTTGACTCACTATAGGAGAAATGGAAGGGCAATCCTTCAGACACAATTGTTGCTTCTATATTGTTTCAGATTCCAAGCAAGATGTATTGGGGTGTGGGCCTTGAGATGAGATTTAAGATTTTAACATACATTCAAGAGTGTAAAATTTTATTTGTTCTTAGCTCCCTGCTTAATAACAGATTAACCTTTGATCCTTGTAATTAAACATAGAGCATCTCAGAATTTTCCTCAGTTAGATCCCACAGATTTAGGGCTCAGTCCTACAAGACTGCTCACACTTCCAGTACCAACTGCAATGCCCAGGTTATTTTACCTCTCTGACCTATTATTGGCTATGAATCACTTCCCATAACCCCTCAAATTTGATCAATTTGCTTGAGCGGTTCACAGGACTCAGGAAACACATATAAACTAGTGAACAACTAATGTATTTAAAATATTTTAAAAAATATTTTAAAGGATATAAACAAAGCTCTAGATAGAGATACACAGGGTGAGTGAAGTCTGGAAAGGTTCCTAGTATAGGAACTTCTGTCCCCATGGAGTTGGGATGAATTACTCTCCCTACATGTAAATGTTTTTGTTTACTTTCCTGGAATCTCTCATGTGTTGGGCTATCTGAAAGCTCTCCAGATTTGTCCATGTGGGGTTTTACGGAGGCTTCATTTCACTGCCACTCATGATCCACTTGACCTTTAACACTTTTTGGAGGTTAGAGGTCGGGGTTGAAAGTCCCAATGCTCTAATTAAATCCTCTGACCATGGCTTTACCCTCACAGTGACCAGCCACCCACCCCTCATTCAACTCATGTGTAAATAAAAGATGCTTTTCATTTTGGAGATTCCAAGGATTTTAGGAGTTGTGTGCTAGGCAATGGCACAGAAGATCAACTACATATTTCCCAATCAAAATATTTTAAATATGCATTTTATTGTATGTTGTGTTGGTCAATCCACACTCAGACACTGCAGAAGTGAAAAAGGACTTTATTTGGGGAGAGGGAATCTTTTATAAATTGTAATTTGGAATACACAGATTCAGACGGCTGTGAATCAGTGCTCCAATGAAGGCAGGAAAAGTGGGAGCTAATAAGGATTTCTGTATGTTGAGAAAAAACAGTGACAGGACTGATAGAAGATAAAGAAAGTACAAACAGAATGCAAATGTCCATAAACAAGAGTACTTAGACCCCTTGGTATGCATCTTGAATTGCTATGCACAATTTAACTGTCCAGTGGTTCAGATGCCTGTGGTCAAAGGCTGAAGGAGGCCACAGTTCACATTCCAGGCAAAGGCTGAAATTGTGCACAAACCCTGCTTCTTAAATGCAATCCTGTCTCCATTTTGTGAAATCTTTCAATGTTTCTTTCATTGAAATTTTCTTTTATTTTCAGTCGATTCCTCAATAATGCTGTTAAAATGGCTACTTTTTTTAAAAAAAGAATTTATCAGAAATTTTCTATTACCATAACCACATTGTTTCATTATATTTCTTTTTATTAATAATTTTTCTTGTAGTAAATAGCATTTCAGTGCTCATTTCCTATATCTGGGGGCAGTGACATCCATTCTTTATTTCAGAAGCTAGACCATAATTTATAATTCCATTTGTGTATTACTATCTCCACTCTTTGGCCCCAGGTATGGAGAGTATTATTTAAACATAAGCCAGTGGGTACTTTCCAAAAGCAAAATCTCTATCATGTAGTTGGCTCATAAATGGGAACCTGACCCCTTAAGAACCAATCATTCACAATGAGCTTTTGCTATGATTTCTGGGACAAAGGTTTCCTATTAGATATAAGAATGCAGGGATGTAACAACCATATTTCTCACTATAGTGAGGCAAGAACTTATTAAAATATGGAGCAAACACGTACGGAGCTAGGTGGCTGTGAGTGAAAACTGATCATTAACGTATCAATGATTAAACTCAGAGCTATTATTGAAATTTTGGCAATATAAGCCATTAATTCCTCTCTTTTGCCTAAGTTAATTTAGGTCTGTTTTTCCATTATTTGTATTAAGAGGCCTAATTTCACAGTGGGGGGGAAGATATAATAACTATACTCTCCATAATGAGACTTTATTTTAGATTTTCACATTTGAGTTTATGGATTAGGGAATATTACTTTCACTTAATAGTTAAGTAACTCCTCAAAACTGTATATTTATGAGAAGAAACTTGAAAGCAACTTCTTTGGTACCAGGGAGAAGACAAAAGTAAATTTATGTAATCTTTCAATCTAGAAACCATATTTTCTGACTTTGACATTTTCCATATACCCAAGCTACAAATCTTTTATTTTAAATTGGGGCAAAAATCAGTAATATATTTTAAACCCATTTAAATTTCTCTCTAGGAAACTGCATTCTGAGATGGGATTAAGAACATGTAAGCAATTCCCATCTTTTCCCTTCTCTTCTGTTAAGCCTGTTTTTTCTTCTTTCATTAAAATCCAATTCAGTGAAATACTTGCTCAGATTGACAAAAGATAAGTTAGGAACAGCTATTTTCTATCTTACCTCTTTTTATCTTCATTTTCTGCTTTTTAGAGTAAAGTCTTATTAAGAAAAACTCCAGATAACTAAAAACTAAAAGAAACCCAGGGAGCTGGGCACAGGTTGAGGCAGGATGATCCAAGCCAGCCTCAGCAACTTAGTAAGGCCCTGAGCCACTCAGTAAGACCCTGTCTCTAAAAACAAAACTAAAAAAGGTCTGGGGATGTGAGTCAATGGTTAAGGGCCCCTGAATTCAATCCCTGGTACCAAAACAACAACAACAACCAAAAAAAAAAAAGGGGGGAACAAAAGAAACCTAGGGAAATAAAACTGAAAATCATGGTGAAAAAAATTAATGTACAAACAGAATTATTTTGTTTAAGCTGTGAGAATTTATTGCCCTTAGTCCTTGTTTGTAGACTACTACATTAATGGCTCTATTGAATCATACTTCCTGCTGTCTATGTCCTTATATAGTCCTCTCTGACACTGATTCTAGACTTGGCCATGTGACTTGCAAATATGAAGGGAGTACAGGCATGGTACTGCATATTGAAGCTTGCCCTCTTCAAACATTTGTTCTGTTGTGGGATGCAGCCCAGTTTAGCATACTAAAAGTTGAGAGGCCATGCAGAGCACAGCCAGTCAACTTACAGAACAGTGAAAAGTCATAAATCTTATTTTAAATCACTGGGTTTTGGGGTACTTTCTTATGCAACAATGGATAACATGGTAGTTAACCTTATCTAGGTGGCAGAGCAAAACAATTAAAAATTAAATAAAGCTATGCTTCATCTGAAAGACAACCAAGATCTCTGAGCAACTTTAGGACTATTCAACCTGCTATACTTCCTGCTTTGCATAGACTCAGATATTTAGTCCATTTAAATAAGTTTTTACAATACTCAACATTTCAACTGTTAACCTAAACATTCTACAGACGTACCAACCTAATCAATGAAAAGTACATGATATATATTTTTATTTTAAACACTGAACTACACGTTTCATTTATAAAATATGAGATTCTAGCTTGTTTTTTAAAAATAATTATACTTGCCAATACTACATTTTTTTACAGACGCCAATGTTTCTAAATCTGCAGTTTCATTCCATAGTTTTTACAGTATCATAATCTTTTAAATACATTTCTAATATCCTTTAAAATATAAAAAATCCATATGAGATATTTTTAATATATTAAAACTTAACAGGTTATGGTATAACTACCCAGTCCTTTAGTCACTGCTGAATACTTTCCCAGTACAGAGAAGTCAACATGTTGGAAAAATTAATTCTCTGTATTTACTTTTATTAAAAAGAGGTTTTTGGTAGTGAGAACAAATAATCTCTCATTTGTTGCCTGAAAGCCTAAAATAGGATCATTGGTTTCTAGGCTAGCTACTTGCTGCTTAGCAACCTGCCCTACATGCCTGCCTTCCTTTCTGTTGTAAAGCACAGTGGACATGGGAGTAGGCTGACGATAGATGAAAACTCGACGAAGGCACTCACAAAGGGCTGCATAGGAGTAATTTGGAGCACAGGCAAAAAATTTTTTGTCTCTTTTTGATGCTTGGACATAACCTGCCAAAAATATAAGACAGACAGACAGACAACAAGAACAACAACAACAAAAAAAAGTATGTTAAGCGGAAGGGAGAAAATAATGGCTTAACATTGAATATCTTATAACTTCTATTACAAATTAAAATGCCTAAGTAAAATATATACCATAAATATTCAATCATGGTTGAATTCAGAACCATTAGCAATTTACCCACAGTTTCTCCCAACCAGTGCAAAAATACAGCTTTAATTCCTAAGAAACAAAATAGGAATTCATCTTTTCAAGAACAGCACAATATAATTCCATTTAATTTCCATGAATAATTAAAACACTACAAATCTGAAAACTTTTGGCATCTTAATGTTTAAGACCTTTTTTTTCCCTAAATATTTATTTTTTAGTTGTAGTTGGACATAATCCTGTTATTTATTTTTATGTGGTGCTGAGGATCAAACCCAGGGCCTTGCACTTGCTAGGCAAGTGCTCTACCACTGAGCCACAACACCAGTCCACCAAAAGATCTTTAAATGCCAGTTTAGTATGTAGGTGGATGAATAACAAATATAGCAGAGTCGTGTTTTCTCTTATCAAATAGGAAAAATGTCTGTATAATAAATAATATCATGAAGTTACTTTAAGAGGCTGTTCATAATGCATCCCTGAAGGTACTAATTCACAATGCATTCTCCCATGATCCCTACAATGTTTGTGGTGTTTTTATACAGTAATATCAAAACTATAATAGGATGTTTTTGTATTTCATCCCCCCAAAGCAGAACTTTGAAACTACTCAAGCTAAAAAAGACTCAAGTATCTAATAAAAAACTTAATTAGGATATCCTTGAAATTGAACAATCTTAAATCATCTTAAATCATGCACATGTTTTAATAAAAAGTATCTCTTCATATTTAAAGGACATTTATGTTTTGAAAGATAATCTAGAATTTTCAGATTGGTACATGGTTTCTAAATTTTATAACATGTGCAATAAAAAATGTAACACTAATGAAAACCAAAATCTCAACAAAAAACAATGAGCAAAGCTATGGGGCACAGGAAGATCAATACTGTTTTTGTAAGGTTTGAAGAAGGAAAAGTGAAGAGGACGTAGACTCCTATGTGAGTAGTTTAGAATTAGCTGTCCAAACTAATTTTGACAGAATTAGTAATGCAGATTATATCTCAAGAGTACATATCTAATGTACAGTTCATTTAATTTAGACTCAAGCATAGCAGATTTCCTCTATAATAGAGGGTTTGGGCATACAAATGGAGGATCTGAGCATCTGAAACATATGACAGAACTCTCCTCTTATTGAAAGAGGAGATTTTTTATAAAATAGGAATGACAGTACAGAGGCTAAAAATATATAGCTAAATCTATTAAACTTTGAATTTCAGGTCATAAAAATCTATTTGGTGTCTGAATTAACCAGTTTAGTAGCCTACGTTATTAACTACACCATAAAGGATAACTGACAAATCTCTACAGTTAGGGTTGTGCACATTTATCCATTAAAATGAATAATTTTACTTCCTTCTGTCAGTTTAAAACAACCTTTCAATAAAGTCATGGTGGCTAATTAACATAAAAAATTTCTCCTACACAATAGTTACTAATGTATTTTTACATAAAATAAATGACTGCACACTCCTATAATAAAGTGGCTTAAAAATTTTAAGTCCTAGTTTTGAAATCAGTATTTTCCCTTTTATTCTACCAAATAAATGTAATTTCTGCTTAATGCCACTTTTCTAAGTGTTTCCATTATAATGGCCACTTAAGTTCAGTGGAACATGCTATCTAATGTACATTACCTTAGAGCAATTCTATGCTACTTTTAAAGATTACTATGAAGAAACCTAAATACAAGTTCCCTTGTTCATATTATAATATTGCATAACTTAAAAGAATTAAAATAAGCAAATGACTGATTAGAATGATTCAAGTGGTTAGATAACCATTTCCATTTCTATTCTGTGTTAATCTTTCATACAAGCATAAGAACAGATTATCTCTGTTCTAATAGCATTAGCCTTCATCAACTAAAACACAAGTAATACAAGCAACCAGTCATACCACAAATTAATCTAAATGTAATTAGGATAGCTCAAATTAAAAAGAAAAAGGCAAATAAACTTAATGATAACTAATTTTTTGTGTAATGGAAAACACTGTCAAAGAGCTTGCTTTATACCTAGAGCATTGAAAGTTGCAATGTGTTCCCACATATCATCTTGTTTGCTGGAGTGTGGCTGCCAGAGTAGGGCGTCAACATCATGGCGCAAACAGAAGCAGGGCATTTCTTTAGGATCTACTACGACAGAGAAAAGGTACTGGTTGCTTCCAAGGTTTACCTAAAGTGACAAAAAAATTAATAATAATTTATTTGATAATAAATTAACAATACTGACAAAACTGAGCACTTTTGTTAGAAACTAGTCTAAACTTTTTAAAACCTAAAGACTCCTCATATGGTTCCTGAAAGAAATGTGCTACTATTACACTCTTTAAAATCTTCTCAACAAAGTCATGAAGCTGTTATTATCTTCGTTGAATAGATGAAAGAATAATCTTGGAGAGCTTAAGAAACTTGTTCTATACTACACAGAAAAATCACAATACTAGGATTCAAACTCAGGTCTGTTTACAAATTTTTTACTTGAGTGTATTGCTTAATTATGGTATTAAGTCAATAATATTTATTATGTCAATAATTGTTATTGCAATATTGATGACTAAAGGAATTGATTTTTATACAAAATTGTCAAATTGAGACTCGTAATTGGATTCGACCTTCAGGAAACTCACTCTCTTAAAGGAGACAGGCTACCACACAGAGACCACAGATAATTTCTTCTCTACCTTTGCTCCTGATAATCAGTGAATAAGTAAGGTTTACTTTCAAAATTACTACTAGCTAACTGCTCTTTTATGACAGGCTCAATGCTTCAGCTCTGCACCTTCATGCTCATTCTTTCTTGTTTACCAAGGGCTTTCACAGATGAAAAAATAATAATAATAGAAGTAAAATAAAAGTTGAAATAATATTTTCATAAAGGTATATTTATTTTCATAAGCCAAATGAGTATTAACAGTATGAAGTACATAACTGAAATGATTTCTGATCTTCCCATATTTAACTAAACAGCAATGAGAAAAGAACAAGGACCCTGAGCCATCAAGTGAAAGGTTAACCACCAAGGGAGATAAACTGGAAAATAAAACGAGGAGGATAAAGGTCTCTTTTTATGAGCCCTTTACTCTGACTGATACTCTTTTTCTTCTGTTCCCATTTACTTATATATACACTTCATTTTCTGTGATTATGTCAAAAAATTGTTTATCAACAAAGCCAGCAATTTCAGTTTGCCTCTACTTACTGCCCCTTTAACAAGGGTATTCTGACCAGACTCCTCTTGTCTTTTTTTTTTCTTGATGGATTCCTACTTATCCCCTAAGATGCAGTTCAACCATCAGTTATTCTCAGAATTCTCATAGTTATATGAGCTGCTTGAATTGAAAACTGCCAGCTGAATTTTTCTTATCCCCAGCCAGTTATTTATCATATTGCAACATGATATATATCCAGTAATCATTAGATTATTACTATGCATGTATATCATCTGTGGGCTGGATATTATTACCCAAAAATATCCACTTCTTAATTCCCTGGAACCTCTGAGTAACTTTCCCTGCATGGCAAAATGGACTTTGTAGATGTAATTAAACTTAAGATCTTGAGTGGAGAGATTACATGGATGGGTCCAATGTATTAACAAGACTTATAAGAGGAAGGGAAAAAAATCAACAGACAATTGGAGCAACAAAAGCAAAGAGATTGGAAGATACTACACTATTGGCTTGGAAGATGGATTTTGGGGCCACAAGCCAGTTAAGGCAGACAGCATCTACAAATTAGAAAAGGAAAGGAAATGAATTCTCCCCCAGATCTTCCAAAAGGAATACAGTCCTGAAAACAGATTTTAGAACTTCTGACATCTGGAATTGTAAGAGAATAAATGTGTGCTGTTTATAGACACTAAACTTGTTACAACAACAATATCAATCTAATATGACACCCATTTTACAGGACTAAGTATCTTTTTGTATGTATGGTGGAGTACTAGGGATTGAATTCAGGGTCTTGAGTAACGTAGGTAAGTGCTTTACCACTGAGTTATACCCCAGTCCTTTTTAAATTTTTATTTTGAGAGAGATTCCTGTTTGAGTTTGGCCTTAAACTTGGCCACCCTCCTGACACAGATTCCATTGCAGATGGGATTATTAAAGGTGTGTACACTGCACCCAGCTATAAGCCTAAATAATCTTGAGAACCAGAAGTCTGTCTTCTTGTCTCCATATTCTGAATGTTTTTTGAACGAAAGTTATGTAATCTTTAAGGGAAAAGGCTTATAATTAGGTTCTTAAAGAACTATTCACTGGAGGATTACTAGGGTTTAGGAGCTTGTAGACTTGTCTCTCCTACCCTGCCCCTCAGTACTGGGGATTGGACCCAGGGGAGATCTACCGCAATTACATTCCCAATCCTTTTTATATTTTTGAGACAGTGTCTTGCTAAATTGCCAAGGTTGGCCTTGAACTTGTGATCCTCCTGGTTAAGTCCCCTGAGCCCTGAGATTACAGGTTCCTGGCTAGAAGCTTCAGACTTAACCAAGTACATAGTTTTGTGTGCTTTTTGGTTCTCAGCTCCAGAAATCTTACATTTTTCAATCTTTCCTCTTGGCTTTCCAAAGTTTAAAGACAAATATACAAACTTGAATGACATTTTGAAAATTTCTCAAAACCTGGCTCCAATATGCCCTTCCAATATTGGCTCCTACTACTCTTCTCAAAACAGGCAGCACAACTGGATCACAATTTACAAACTGTTTCTCCTACTTTCCCCTTTGTTTGTTCGTGTTTTTTCTACTTGTGGTATGTTATGCCCATTGTCCCATGCCATATACGAATGGCATTGTTTCCTCTAAAAAGGCTTTCCCATGTTAATACAAAGAAAGAACATATCATAACTATTCATACCTTTCTAGTTGAACTTATCATATATTCTTTGAGGGTGTTAACTATATCCTTGGATAGTCATAGTTAAGCCCTGATTTATTTTATTATAAATTCAGTAATAACAGTACTTCTTGCATAATTGTTATAAGCAAACAACGTATTTCAAACCCTTGGATAATGGTCAGCACTAAAACATTATTAAATATTGTTGTTCATTATACCATTCTACCCTTCTATTCATTCTGCTTTGTATAGTACAGGCATTCCAAATTAAACAAACGAGATAGATAAGTAACAGTAATAAGGAAAACAAAGCAACTTTGGAACAACTCATGTAGCATTTATTTTATGCCTAGACTTGTGGGAATAGCTATGAAAAACAGTATTAACATATATTTTCTTTGTTCTAATCCCAAAATATTTACTTTAGAAATAATTTCTAAATGCTTACACCATTTCAAAAATATAGAATTCACTGTTCTGCCTATAATTTTTTGTCATATAAGTTCTCTTTTTTTAGTAGTTTCAAACATATACTCACTGCTTTCAATTTAAATCTTAAGATAATGCACTTTTTCATATAAGATTTTGATTCTTTATACACCCAGTTTCTGACAATTTTAAAAACAAAGTAAACAAAATAGTCAATTTATAATGGTAATACAGCCTATAATAATTGAGACACAACACTCCCATTTAAAAATTAGGTAACTAAACAAAATAAAGGTATTGTCCATCTACAACTAAAAAAATATTTTAAAAAATGTGATATAAAAGAACTGATGGACTTTTTTCTTTTTGTATATAATGAGATTGTGATATTCATTTTACTTAACAAATAAACCTTATCCTCCTCAGTCTTCATTTTAAAACCAAGTATTCCACACTGCTAAACTAAAAAGGTTCCACTGAAGTTATTTGATGCTTCTTAGGTTAGTCAGCTGCCACACTGGAAAGCAAGATTGCACTTCCATCCAAAGGTTCCGATAAAGGAACTGCATATCAACACTGCTTTTAGGATAACAACTAAACAGTGTTTGGTTTCACTTTTCTCATAATGGTACTGGAATCTCTTGATAATTTAGGCTTTCATGCGTTTTTCTTCACTCACTGCAATAACTGGGATCTCCAGAATGATGTTTAACAGGAGTAGTTGGAGCAGACATCTTGGCCTGTTCCCAATCTTAACAGAAAGCACTTAGTCTTTTACTATGAAGTATAATGATCAATTCTAGGGTTTTAGGGGCAGTTACCTTTAATACCTAGTTTGCTGAGCATTTTTATCATAAACTGGTGCTAAATTTTGTCAAATTCTTTTTCCGCGTCTACTAGCAAGAGCACTTTTTTTTTTTTAGTTTGCTGATATGGTGAATTATATTGATATTCAGATAATGAGTTAGCCCTAAATTCCTCTTCATGACCACACAACTTGGTCATGAATATTATTCTTTTTACTTATTGCTAGATTTACTAGCATTTTGTTTAGGGTTTTTTGTTTATATTAATTAAAGTTATTCCTTCCTTCCTTCCTTTCCATTCTTTTTTCTTCTTCTAATGCCTTTATCTGGCATCAGGGTAATGCTTCATGAAATAAACTAAGAAGAGTTTCTTTTATTTTATGGAAGTTTATACAAAATTTATACTGTGTCTTCCTTTGAGAGAATACACCAGTGAAGACATCTGAGCCTGGAGATTTCTTTTAATTTAATCTCTAACAGACACATGAATATTAAAGTTATCTATTTTATTCTTAAATGAAATTTCAAGAAATTTGTTTCACATAAATTGTCAAATATAATGAAATATAGTTTGTTTATAATATTCCATTTATTATCTATACTGATATCACCATTCTTTATTGCTGACATTGGTAGTTTGTGTCTTTTTTCTTGATCAGTCTGGCTAGAGATTTAACAATCATAAATCTTTTCATAAGACCAGGTTTCAGTTTCATCAGTTTTCTCCATTATTTTCAGTTTTCAATTTCTCTGGATATCTTTATAGTTGAAGACAATTCTTCAGACTCCTTCTTCCTGCTTGGTTTATATTTAGTTTGTTCTTTCTCTGTTTCTTCAGGTGGAAGCTTAAACCATTAAACTAAGACATTTTTCTAATATAACATGTCATGCTACAAATTTCCTTCTAAGCTCTACTTTGCATCCCACATATACAATATTTTGTTTTCATTCAATACAAAATACTGAGTTCCATTATAGCAGATAGATTACTGATAAACGTGTTTATTTTCCCAGTACTTGTGAATTGTTCAGATTTTTATTATTTATTTCTAATTTGTTATGGTCAACAACATTTTGCTTAAAATTACTGTTGTTTT